GCACACCCCACCATTGGAACTGTTTATTAATACAACTACTTCAGTGCAGTTTAATTAGTTGAATTTCAGGACACGCTTTAAAAATTTTTTAGGTAAACAGCATTTGAGACAAGTTTGAAAAGTTAGCCTAAGTTTGCTAAAAATGTACTTTCCTGTTTTAATAGGCAATAGCATCCTCAACAAATGAACCGGATTCAGTTTGTTCGGCAAAACCCTTGAATACTTCAGATACTGTAAGTCCTTTTTACTTAGGTAAAAAGATTGTAATCTCTATTCCTTTCCATTATCATTCTTATTGTTTTTATTAACAACTTAAAACACTTCAATTTGTTTCGCTTTAAAAAAACAGAGAATTAATAATTTAATTGGAGAACGTCTTGAATGGTTATTTACACTAACCAATAGAACTGTTTATTAATAAAACTACTTCAGTGCAGTTTAATTAGTTGAATTTCTGGACGCACGCTTTCAAGGGTAAGAGGTGTTCGGTTAGCGAACTGAGTTGCACTCACTTCAAATTTTTGGGTAAACAGCATTCGAGACAAGTTTGAAAAGTTAGCACTTCGAAATCATCTAAACTGACTCAAAAATTCCTTGTTTGCTTTTATTATCATTCAAATTTTTCCCTATTGTGGCAGTGAGACATGCAGTTCATACGGTAGGGTATCCGCCAATGTATTTATTTATTTATATCGAATGGCAGGCGTCTGGATGGTTATCATTAGCCCTTTAGTTGACTTCAGGCTTCACAGAGGGAAGGAATATCAAATTGAAAAAGTCGACAGGGGGGGACAGAAGAGTGTATCAAAGATGTAAAAGAGACAGACAGACACAAAGGTAGAAAAAAGATGAGATGAGTACTGTGATATATATTCGAATATGGCATCGAGTGAGGTGATGGTAGTTTGAAGTGAGAAGTCAACTGCCAGTCAATTGACTTTTTTGCCATATGAATATACGGTGCCNCATTGGCGGTGTGCGATAGACTTACCTCCACGTGGTCCACCCTGGGCACCGTATATTCATATGGCAAAAAAGTCAATTGACTGGCAGTTGACTTCTCACTTCAAACTACCATCACCTCACTCGATGCCATATTCGAATATATATCACAGTACTCATCTCATCTTTTTTCTACCTTTGTGTCTGTCTGTCTCTTTTACATCTTTGATACACTCTTCTGTCCCCCCCTGTCGACTTTTTCAATTTGATATTCCTTCCCCTCTGTGAAGCCTGAAGTCAACTAAAGGGCTAATGATAATCATCAAAACGCCTTCCATTTGATATAAATAAATAAATAAATATTACCACTATAATTGTGTGGAGAAAAGTTCAATTTTTATTAGTGGAAGTAACTGAAATTGGCGAATAAAAAATACCAATGAAGGAGAAGGGCAGTGATCAAAGAGTATTGGGAACAAGGTTCAGCAATCAATGAGAGACTAAATTGGGCTTTTGCATTCAGACTGTACGATACTTAGATAGTCTATGACGTTCTTTGGTTCAATTCTTGAAAATGCGAGATAGTCTAACTTGTTAGTAAGCACCTTCCAGCCATAGCATGGCAACGGTGAGTTAGATAATTTTTTATAAAATTTAAGACTAAAACTGGAAGATTTTGAAGAGGAACGCACGAAAATACATAATGGACGCAAATCGATATCAAATGCATTGCTTCATCCCAATTGGCATTTTAATTACAAGCCCATTTAGCTTAGTGCCTCTCTTGTGAAAAGTTGAAATCGAAATTACAAGTCAGGATTGATCAGTTTGGCGTGTCATTACCCTCCCCCCCCCTCCCCATGGGGGTGGAGCTCGAGACTTTCGACTTCATTGGCAATACCTTCACAGCCAAAGGCTTCTCACCTCATAAATGCTTTTGATTAGAAAGGCATCTAAATGAACAGTATGGCCGAAGACATTTCACTGAAATGATGTTAAAAAAGGTGATTTTGTGGATGAAACAATGGCAAGATTATTGTACACCACTTTAGAGAAAACGGACGGCTCTGTAAATGTATGTACCATTAAGGCGATAATTATAGCTTAAATAGGTATTTGCCGCTTTCATCTTAGCTGAAGTGCATCACATTATTGGAAAAGTCCCTTTGTTTGTTTATGCTTCTACTTTTATGTCAGAGTGCGTGAGAGGACGCTGGCCAATGATGCTCTGAACGGACACATAGGAGGGGGTTTAAGCTGCAAATCTTTCGAAAGGTTAACCATCATCATTTGGGAGTAACATAAACCCCGAATTCATAATAGACATTAAATTTGACTAGCTAATGTCATAACTAAAATCTGAGATGGGACAAACAGGAAGTTGGGGGGNTGAATGGTTATTTACACTAACCAATAGAACTGTTTATTAATAAAACTACTTCAGTGCAGTTTAATTAGTTGAATTTCTGGACGCACGCTTTCAAGGGTAAGAGGTGTTCGGTTAGCGAACTGAGTTGCACTCACTTCAAATTTTTGGGTAAACAGCATTCGAGACAAGTTTGAAAAGTTAGCACTTCGAAATCATCTAAACTGACTCAAAAATTCCTTGTTTGCTTTTATTATCATTCAAATTTTTCCCTATTGTGGCAGTGAGACATGCAGTTCATACGGTAGGGTATCCGCCAATGTATTTATTTATTTATATCGAATGGCAGGCGTCTGGATGGTTATCATTAGCCCTTTAGTTGACTTCAGGCTTCACAGAGGGAAGGAATATCAAATTGAAAAAGTCGACAGGGGGGGACAGAAGAGTGTATCAAAGATGTAAAAGAGACAGACAGACACAAAGGTAGAAAAAAGATGAGATGAGTACTGTGATATATATTCGAATATGGCATCGAGTGAGGTGATGGTAGTTTGAAGTGAGAAGTCAACTGCCAGTCAATTGACTTTTTTGCCATATGAATATACGGTGCCCAGGGTGGACCACGTGGAGGTAAGTCTATCGCACACCGCCAATGTTGTTCCCCTAATTTTATTTGTTCTAAACTCTGCGGCGGACTGCTACATTAACTAGGCTTGACTATACTCAGTACTCTCAATAACAGATTCTCCACTATGTTTGAAAAGGCTCCCTAAATTGGCTAAGCTACCACAAAGCTAAAGAGAAAATAGATGTATGACGTGGAAAACGTTTGTTTGGTATGGCGTGCTGACGTGCCATACCACGATGTGTATTCGGCGCGGTAATTATTTGACACGTCGATTAATTGGCACAGCGTGGTACAGCACGGTCGTGCAGCGACTTGGAGCTTAGGCCTTGTATACACTTTCTGACATGATGACCTCGTAATGACTTTGCTCGTTGATTGGTCGTGAGGACTCTGTATTTGTCATGCTAAAGATGTGTTCCTACACGTCTGAAGCAATTTGAGTAATTTGCTTTCCATTAACAACTTATAGAAGAGAGAAAGTGCGGTTTAGCTGAGTCACATTGAATCATAGGCAAGTGAAAGTGGCCAATCGGCATGACCCGTTTGAGCCATTGTCAAAGAGGGCGAGGAGGAGGGGGGAGGGGGGGGGGCGAAATTCAGTGACTGGTACTAATTTCACACAAACAATCTGATGTAAAACTAATTTTATTTGAAGTCTTTTAGATTAACAAGCCCCTTAAAAATCAGCTTTGAGAAGTCCATTAACTAGTATAATTAGTTATGTTGATAGCCAGATGAGTGGTTAACGGTCTCAGGCCTCAGAGATATGGATAGTACTCACTTTATCAACCGTTGTAAATGTTGTTTTCTTAACAAAAGTCAGCATTTTTTTATGATTTATAAATGAGGTCTTGATTGATGCATAAATGTCTTTGTTGTCAACAGCGGATGAAAGCAACAGGAATACCGCAGTAAAAAGTCTCTAACTATGTAGCTCGGATTGCTAAAGCCATGGTTCCTTAATTACCTGATGTAGAGTTTACGCATTTTTTTACCAGTTAGTTAGTTAACCTAAGTCGAGATTAGCTAGTAATTCAAATAGGGATAAAATGGAGGGGTGTGCGATAGACTTACCTCCATGCGATGCACCCTGGGCAACGTATACTCATACGGCAAAAAAGTCTATTAACTGCACCCTGGGGAACGTATACTCATACGGCAAAAAAGTCTAACACCCTGGGCAACGTATACTCATGCGACAAAAAAGTCTAAAATACGGGGTGTGCGATAGACTTACCTCCGTGATATATTTAATGAATGGGGTGTGCGATAGACTTACCTCCACGTTGTGCGAAATAGCAATGTGGGGTGTGCGATAGACTTACCTCCACGTGGTACGCCCTGGGCAATGTATACTCATACGGCAAAAAAGTCTATTAAATGGCTTGGAAACGTGACCTCATACGGCAAAAAGTCTATAAACCGCTGGGCAACGTATACTCATACGGCAAAAAAGTCTATTAACTAGTGAGATGGGTGTGCGATAGACTTACCTCCATGCGATGCACCCTGGGCAACGTATACTCATACGGCAAAAAAGTCTATTAACCCGCAGTTGGCTTCTCACTTCAAAATGCCATGGCCCGACTAGTTGTCATATTCGACCCCTACACAGTACTCATCTTACCTTTTTCCCTACCTTTGTGTCTGTCTGCCTCTTTTACATCTGTGAATCGCTCTTCTCTTCCCCACCCCTCGACTTTCTGCTACTTTGATGAACCTTCCCTCTGTGAAGCCCGAAGTCAGCTAAGTGGTTAATGATAGCTATTAAAACGCCTGCCATTTGAAATAGATAAATTAATAGATAAAATGGACTGTGATTAAAGCGATATGCTTCGTAAGTGCCAACGAGTATTGTGGAAGTAGTCGAATATGACATACAATGGGGTTATGATAGTTTGGAGCCAGAAGTCAACTGCTGGTTAATTGACTTTTTTTCCGCATGAGTATACGCTGCCCAGGGTGCATCGCGTGGAGGTAAGTCTATCGCACACCCCTCCATTTTATCCCTATTTGAATTACTAGCTAATCTCGACTTAGGTTAACTAACTAACTGGTAAAAAAATGCGTAAACTCTACAAAAGTAAGTAAGTCTATCGCGCACCCCATAAATGTTAATATAAATGGCTTAAAAGACACATAGACTGTTCATTACGGAAGTACTTTAGGTCCGATAATGAGCAGAATCTTGTCCAATAGCAGAGCCTACCGCAGGGTTTGCGGAGAATTTTATGCATGCAGATTTGCTGTGTTGTGAGGTGGTGTGCTAAATACTCTTTTCAGAACTTCACCACCTGAGATTGGACCGCATACCTAAGTTTTCAGATCACATCCTCATGAGTTCTATGACAAGGAAGCGAGTATATATATAAAGCCTGAGACCCACTTGCTCGACTGAGTCAGTTTATTAACTTATTAGGAAATTTCGCGATAAATGTATCTTCGGTTAGGCCATATATGGAATAAATGAGCACTGAAGGTTTACAAGTGTGAGAATGATAAAAATGCACCAGAAGGCTCTGAAGACATATGAAAGTGAGTGGAAGCGATAATCATGTCACAATAGCTACCACCCTACCCTCCAAAGAATGGGATGGGATGCATTTTGTGGACATCCCATTTGCCTTCTTCATTGACTACGGTTCTCTCATGTTTACCATACAAGGCTTTCTTGACCTACTTCCAATTCCTCAGTAGCTATGAGATCAAGTAGGCGGATTTTTTTAAGTCACTCTGAAAGACGCTTGCCCACAAGCTTCCCTAGTGAGACGATTTATGTGCTCACCGAGAACAATAATAATTTATTGCCCTCACTGAAATCGTTCTGAAGTAAGTACAGTATATATATATGATAAAGGAGAGGTGCCAAGATGATTTTTAAGTCAATTCAAGATTTCCCTTGGATTAGGGAGACAATTTATGTCTACTTCATTGACCTGTTGCTTATTCATGGCGGTGGTTCTTGCCACACCAATTCCAATTGTCCTCTTCCAAACGTTGAGAAAACAGAATTCAATTGATCGATATTAATAAGCATGCTAATTAATTTCGTCAAAAATAAGAATGGATAACTTTTACTCATAACTTGTACTTTTGTACTTTGAAGATACTATCAGATCCTTGCAAAGAATGGTGCGAGGGCGATAAAGGTAATCATTTTTGGTAATATTTTCACGTTATTTGCATCCTGTTTCATTATTTTTTATTATTTTATTCATTCATTTTTTTGTTGTATTTATGTTAATCAGTATTTTTTCTGAATCAGAGCCACCCGTGCATTATTATTTCGAAAGCGCTCGTGCTGGAGATCCTTGGCAGTACTACAGCGACGTTAAGATCCAGTCTGACGATGTGAGTCTACTTTCATATTTATTTATTTATATCAAGTGGCAGGCTTTAGGAGAGTTATCGTTAGCCCTTTATTTGACATGGGGCTTCATAGAGGGTGGAGGAACGCCAAAAAGTCACAAAAAGTTCAGTTGGGGGGGGGGGGATAGAAGAGTGATTCACAGGTGTAAAAGAGACAGACACAACGGTTGTGAGAAAAAGGCAAGGTGTGTACTGTGGAAGGGGTGGAATATGACATACAGTCGGGTCATGGTAGTTTGAAGTCAACTGCCAATTAAGAGACTTTTTGCGGTATGAGCATACGTTGCCCAGGGTGCACCACGTGGAGGTAAGTCTGTCGCGCGCCCATTTACAAAATTATCCACGTGCACACTTTTTAGATTTGGAGCTTGTTAGTATTGACGCAAACAAATCAATTGAGGTTTTATTTGCAGTACAGTGAGAACTTCAAAAATGGATTTGATATTGTGAAAATTGGGGTTTATTGGGCTCTTCTATCGCTTGATGTAGGGGTGTGTAAGATAAGATCATTCTCAATGATTGCCCTCCACGCCAAAATTAGAACACCAAGAATTGAGTATGGATTTTGAATATTTATTTCAAATGGCAGACGTTTTGATAGATATCATTAGCCATTTAGCTGACTTTGGGCTTCGCAGAGGGAAGGTTCATCAAAGTAACAGAAAGTCGAGGAGTGGGGAGCAGAAGAGTGATTCACAGATGTAAAAGGGACAGACAGACACAAAGGTAGAGAAAAAGGTAAGGTGAGTACTGTGAAAGGGGTCGAATATGACAACCAGGGGGGTCGTGGTAGTTTGAAGTCAGAAGTCAAATACCGGTTAATAGATTTTTTGCCGTATGAGTATACGTTGCCCAGGGTGCACCACGTGGAGGTAAGTCTATCGCACGCCCCGGATTTTGAATATAATGCTCAGCAATCTAGAGTTGGGAGCGTTAGTTAACCGATTGGACTAGCTTTGGCACACTCGAGAGAGAGAGAAGCCCATGAATTTTATCTCTCATGCACTAAACTAAGGGATATTCGAATTCTGCCCTCGTGCTTGCAAATGGTAGACCTCGAATTAAATTAACCATAGCTATAATTGTCAGCTAACCAGGCGCCCAGCCATAGGCCACTTAACCAATTCAATGCGAGAACATTTACTTACCTAATAAGAAACTGATGGCTAGGTTAAAGATGTTCTTTTGGCGTCGTTTGTATAGTTCACTATTTTTTTCACAGTCGCTTGCCTTACTGTCGTCCAATATGACTGCTAATGCGACCCCATTTTAATCCTTATCCTCCTAGATTCGAAGTGTACGCTGTTGTTTAGGCCATCTGAGTGACTTATCCGATGAAGAAATTCGTGATGCTTTACGATTTATTCACGAAGAACAACGATATTCGCATGCATTTTACGATCGACCCTCCCCCACTCGCACGAGTAGCGCTTTTGTAGCCTGGCATTATACCCACGCTGCTAGGGCGCTGATTCTTCGATACATCTTCACAATCGCCATAGAGTTGACCTTCACTGAGTGCTTAGAGGCTCTCACCTCTTGTGATTGGAATGTAGATGATATACTCCATTCACTCCAAAATCCAAACGGTTTCTAAATGCTTTTACTTCATGTCTACTTTTTTTGGTGTGTGTGCTCACAATCCTTCTACTCTTTTTGACTGACCCATCTCTCCTTTTTTTCAACTTCTTTTTCATGACACTTTCATAGAAAAGATATTCATGCTGTCATCTATAACATATTCATCGACATAAACAGTTATTCTTATACATTTTGTCGAATTTTATTAGATTTGAATGGTAATAGACGTACCTAATTATGGTGGGAGTTATTAGTATTTTTTGGAATGTTGAACAACTTCTGGGTTGTCACAAATATAATCTAAGTAGGATTACTCATCTAGAGGGAAGTTAATCACACACAGTTGCTTTGGTGATAATATCGTGCGTTGAGAGTGATAGCACACTGATCATAGATTATGTGGCAATATTGTAAGCATAACCTCTTCTTGGCCAGAGGGTGGAATCACTATGCTTCTATTATTTGTCTGACTCAACCCCTTTGGTGTTGAACATTCCGCTCGCCAATCGGACATAAACACGTGACACCTCACATGGCAAAGTGGCTTGGTGATCAATGTCCCATCGACAAGGCTCGAGCAGAGCTGAAGGAAATAATTACTGAACCAACCCTTCTGAACTGAACACAGTTCAACGAATGGTGTTAGCTGGACAAAGTAGGAAGGAAACGAATGTTAACCTGCCTGTAGAAAATGCGTCTTGGAGAAACCCTGTCTAATCATTGCAAAGCTAAAAACTGCATCAACTTTCTGGTCTAGACTAGAGGTACTGTCCAAAATGCAAATGAAATTGTCTTCCACTGAACCTGAATATCAAGAGTGGGTTTAGGAAACTTCAAATGTGTGCGCTAAGTACCTTCTCTATGAAGTCAAAATTTGATGTAGAAACTAAGTTATGCGTCAATCCTTTCCACTGTTAACACACTGAACACGTAGGAGAAGTGAAGAGGCGTATTAACCCTTTAACATCCGAATTATTGTTAGAAAAATTCTCCCAACCGCACTCACGCGTGCCTCACAGCAGACAGGTGTCTACCTAACGAGTTTTGGTAGTATCAGGCGAAGGCTATAGACGCATTGAGCATGCTTTAAACGCCAATGCCGCCTTCTGCTACGAGTCTACTACCAATGGAGCTCATTTTGAAAGAGCACCGTGTGGTCCTAAGGGCGTCAATGGGGTTAATCATTCATAAAAAAACATCAAATTGATGGACTCATTTCTTACAGTGACTGAATGATGTGCTACAGGAAGATCACGAAAGAAAGGAGAAATTTTGGTAAAAATTTTAAATGAAAACCTGCTCCACTGCTCACACTGATCGCTGTTAGGTGCTACCTTCTGCTATGTAAGAGGTCCACAACGTTAATTTACACAACGAAAAGCCCTTATCTAAATACACATTTAAGTATCGTGCCTAGAAGGTCAAAGAGTGACTCGTGCTTTAGGTCGCCAGACAACACGAATAAACTTGTAGGCCTAAAACGAAGTCAGCAAAGAAAAGGCGTAAAGACCACAAGATTTGCTAAATCAAGAGAGCACAAATGGGATTAGCATGGGCTCAAATTGTGCAGTTACTCTAAACGAATTAGAATCGATTTAAGAAGAATGCGATTAAGACAATATTAAGGAAGTAGAATCCTAATTGTTCGAATAGAATAAGATTGTATAACAGCTGTTATTATGGCATGTGGTAACTATGTTACCACGAAATGTTCACTGCCCCAACCCTAAGGCTACAATAGCTCAAAAGTGGAATACAGGATCGATAATCCAAAAAAATGTTCACTTATTATGAGCATGGGTTAACTCATATTGATTCGAAGGTTTGGTTAAAAAGTAACTATCAGAGAGGAGAGAGAAAAATGCCACTTATAAATTGGCATTTTCTATCAATTATCTTGAACAGAGCAATAGCACCCTGATGTGGGGAAGTCATAAAGCGTTGTTTCTCCTTTGATCGGTTTCAGCCAGCTGTTCTCTCAATGCACAGCGTTGAGGTTAAAATCCATGGTCCACAATTTGGCGGATATACACGTTAAAGGACAAATAGATGGGGCAGTTGAAGAGAGTGCTTCTGGCAGGAAGCCATCGAGTTATTAGTTGATCTCAGGGTGAGTACCTTCTGTACGAATCTTCCTCATCAATATGCGGGGACACGCCTCTCCTGCCGGTTATTATGGGCAAACCGTTAGCAGTCAAGCAGTATTCCGGTCGACGTACACCAATAGCACAAACACAACTGTATTCATTAGCATATAGACGAGGCAAATATAGCTCAAGCAATATTGGTAATTCAAGGGGGAGTGCGCATGCTAATGCACAGATAACATGGGCACGACGTGTGGACCAATAATGCAGCTAAATTGGTTAGATAAGGAAACATGCCCAGGTAGACGACTTTCATTAGAGACGAAGGATTGTAGTAGTGCTGACAAGATGAACACCTTACGCATATGCTGTTACCTATTTATAAAAACCACAATTTCAGCACCAACATAGGAATACCAGTGGGCAGGTAGAACATCACGGATGGGAATAGACTTCCAAGGATTGCAACAGTGTGAAAGGGTCTTCCTTTGCAAAGGTTCCCCAACACTCATTCCGAAACCATAAGACAGTGTTTTCGTTCATTCGGTTTACTCCTTAAAATTTTACTACGGAACAACGAACATTCCCTTTGTAGAACTTCAAAATCCTGGGGCACTGGTACTTATCAAGCAAACAACAGCACTAGATGTCCTCCTAAAGCTAAATTAATGAAAAACTCACATTGTACCACCCCCCCCCCCCCCCACCACCCCCCGTTTGACCTGAATTTGCTGACTGAATACGTGCGTGTTGACCACTGGTACTGACGCTCCAGCCGCTTTAGTGTCGATTAACAGTAGAGATAAACACAAATACACATGTCCTAAACAAATTAATATAACTTAACAAAGCATAATCACACGATCTCCGCTTTCTTACTCACGGGTCAGAAGATATAATTAAAACAAAATAATGCTCAAGAAACAAATTCCCAACCTTATATACACAGAAATTATTATAAAAAGACAAGGTTAATATAGCCATAAGAAAAGACATGTTTAAAGGAGAATATTTAATATACATAAAAAGAATTTCTATACACGAATAAGGACTAGAATAAAATACAAAGAGAAATACCACATGTAGTTATTCTAGTACACCGTTAATTTCATTCTCCTTCGAATGTCTGTGCTTTTTCGACTTCTTTTTCTTGGGTGCAGTCTCCACAAACTCCTGATAGTCCATAATGGGGATTACCTCCTGGTCAGTTTCATAACCCACAACAGATTGTTCGTCCACTACATGCTGTGTAAATGGGGGCTCGATTGCAAAATCATTGGGATCATCAAGTCCTACAGCGACAGCATCAATAATCTCTTCCAGATGTGCAAGGGCTTCAGGATCAGATGTTTGCTCCTGTCTTGGCTTCTTCGCAACAGAGAGCGCTTCCGTAGAATCAGCAGAAGTGTTATACGGTCGTTTCAGACTGGATGACAACTCCTGGCCTCCACCAACCTGGGATTTAGTTGGAACATGAGGAGTAGAGTTCACTATAAGGAAATATAATTAGGGAAAATACCCCCAAAGTCACAATAAATGACGTGGATGAGAGTTAACAAACCAAGTGGTGTTGGATAATTCTCCAGGGAAACGTTCTTTTTGGCTTTAGAAGCAACTGGTTTAGCCGGAGTCACATTAGTAGTCGAATGAGCACTGATATTATTTGTAAGCTTTACTACGGGAGGTTTGGCCGATATTTTGGGAGTAGCAGTTTTCGGAGCAGTATTATTAGCAACTTTGTTTAGACAGGGCCTCGATGTCACCGTGGGAGTTGTTTTTTTAGAATCAACTGGTTTAGCCGGAGTCACTTTAACAGACGAATCAGCACTGATGTTATTTGCAAGCTTTATAACGGCAGGTTTGGCCGATACTTTGGGAGTGGCAGTTTTCGGAGCAGTACCATTTGCAACTTTGTTTAGACTGGGCCTCGATGTCACCGTAGGAGTTGATTTTTTAGGAGTAGCTATCAGAGGAGCCGCATTTTCGGCAGGATTAACAGGAGCTGTAGTTGGTGCTTGAGGAGTTTTCTTAATAGCAGCGGGTCCTGGAGTACTTTTCTTGATAGGACCACCTGTAAGAAAGATTATAAAGTAAAAATTTCACCGGAGGAGGAGAAATAAAAGCCACTTACAGCTGTCAGAAGTTACCAGTGTCTCCAATTTTATGAGACGGTTTTTGATTTCCTCAATTTGTCCATCTATTTTAGCGCTTCCTTCTTCCTCCTTGGTCGAATTTTCATGTAGCTTCGTTTTACTGAAAATTGAATCGTCACATCAATAATTTTCGAAAATGCGAAAACAAAAAATATATAGAGATACTCACGTTTCCGAAGTAACAGACTCGAAATGAACAGTTACAAAACCCATCGCATTCCAGTCACCCTTATATAGTGGATCTGCAGTAGAGTAAATTAGGTCCGTATTTGGTGCAATTCTTAATTGATATTGTTTTTCAACACCGGATTGGGATAACTTAATAGTGCGAGTTACATCCGTGTTAGAAAAAATATTAAATTTTTTAATCAATTTTCGCACGCCCTTTTTAATATGAACACAATTATCTTGGACCAATCGAAGACCTTCCACTGTGTCCATACTAAATTTAAATAAAACACCATATCTCGAATCCATAACCTATAGAGCACGTAGCAGCTTCAAATGGCGAGCATCAATGAAAAATGATTTTAACAACTATATATAATTAAAAAACTTACATTTCAAATTTATAGATTGTACAAATATATTAATAATTAAAATAATATTATTTCTAAATAATCACAAGTGAAGTTAATTATAATTATTTTTGATATTGACATATTTCGTTCTCATATGCTCGTCCGTATACCATTAACAGTTTTAGTGCTATATTTGTTTTTTGGTCATCAAAATAGCATTCCAATCAGTTTCAGTACATTACCTTAGGTACCACCCATATATTTCGCTTTATATATCCTATTTAAATTAACTTTTATTGGTAAGAAATAACAGGCAATATAAATTTGTGTTTGTGAAGCTGATTCATATTTGCAATTATTGAAACTGAGTAATTGAGAATTTTTTATAACTCATATTTCTACTTTTATTGAAATCGAATGTCAGTCATCATGTCGATAAAATCTTGAGAATAAAATATATAAGTGGTTCAAATGTTTGCTCTTTGAAACCCTCAAAATTACATATCATCATTATTTGATATCGTCTACTCTGCAGTCACGATGCTAAGCTTACGCCTATTTATAAAAATTGAAGATGGTGTTCCCTCCATCTCCAGGATATTGTAGTTGGTCGTGATTTAAATGAAATATTAATTCCTTTACCTCAGGAAATCCTTCTTAGGTGTCAATGCATGGGACTTTGCAGCGGATTGCTACGCTAGCAAGCCTTGACTATACTTAGTAATCTCTATGACAGTTTCTCATATGTTTCAAAAGGGGGGGTGCGTGATAGACTTACCTCCACGTGGTGCACCCTGGGCAACGTATACTCATACGGCAAAAAAGTCTATTAACTGGCGATTGACTTCCGGCGCAGTACTCATCCTACCTTTTCTCTGCCTTCATATCTGTCTCTATAAATCTGCAAATCACTCTTCTGTTCCCCACCCCTCGACTTTCTGTTATTTTGATATTCCTTCCCCCTGTGAAGCCCAAAGTCAGCTAAAGGGCTAATGATAACTATCAAAATGCCTGCCATTTGAAATAAATAAATAAATAAATGTTTCAAAAGGCTTCAAAAATTTGTGGGACACGTCATCGCATGCCTGTACGCCAGGATTGGGAGGTACGACCGTACAAACGGTGACCAATCATTAACCTCTGTTTGTTTAACCTAATCCGCCATCCCGATCATGATTAAGCTCCCTGCGTGTGCACTTTATTCGCAATACCCGTACTGAATAAACGTGCTCCTTACTACACGTCTGTTTCCTTTTATAGCTGGGCTATGGCTTAGCTGGTTATGGGAGTTTAGCAAGATGTTGGAGTATCTGCCATAGAGATTTCTGAGTCGGTCAGGCTTTACTAG